ACACACACACACACACACACACACACACACACACACACACACACACAAATAGTAGGAGATTTCAACACTCCTCTCTTGCCAATGGACAGGTCAACCAGACAGAAACTTAACAGAGAAATAAGAGAACTAACAGATGTAATGAATCAAATGGATTTAACAGAACATTCCACCCAAACAAAAAAAAATACCTTCTTCTCAGCACCTCATGGAACCTTGTCTAAAATTGATCACATACTCGGTAACAAATCAAACCTCCACAGATACAAAAGAATTGGAGTAATCTCCTGTGTCTTATTGGATCACCATGGAGTAACATTAGAATTTAACGATACCACTGCCAGAAAGCCTATAAACTTTAAAACTGAATTCCTCCCATCACTCTCAGAACTCCCTTCCAGTGTTTCAAAATCCAGTCTTATGATTTTACCAAGAAAAAAAAATCACACAGCATAAAGTGTGTAAAGACTTGACACCTCTGAGAAGATTTTAAATAGCTTTCTTTTCACCAACCCAGTTTTTAAACTGGCTGAGATCTTCCAAACAGGCTAAAAATTAATTTAATTAGCTTTGGAGAAATTTAAAATAAAATAAAAATAAATAAAAGCTCCCTCACTCCCAGGAAATTTGCTACTTATCTGAGAAAATTTTGACTGTGCCACATCAACCAAATTCCTTTATAAATGGTCGTGGAAAATAGGAAACCTAGAGTCATTTTTGAAGTTGTTCCAATTTGTTTGGCATAGTTTGATTCTACACAGAGAAAAGGAGAGTAAACAAGAAGTGGAAACAAACTGACCTCCAGGATTGCTGGAGGACTCTCTGGTCTGTAGGCCCATGTGACTCCTGCTGTAGGCCTGGTGAAGGGAAGAGACACACAGACTCAGCAGCTGTCTGAAGTTGACAGGAACACTGTGGAGGGCAAGGGTGTGGGTGAGGAGACTCAGAATCTGGCAGAAAATATTTTCTACTGTGGGTAAAGGGGAACGAGGCAATTGTCTCT